ACTAAGGAAAGAATATTGAAGGCTGTAAGAGAGAAAAAACAAGTAACATACAAAGGTAAACCCATCAAAATCACAGCAGACTTCTCAACAGAAACATTAAAAGCAAGAAGAGCATGGGGTGAGAGCTTCTGGGCACTGAATGAAAATAACTTCAACCCCAGGATACTCTACCCAGCAAAACTATCATTCAAAATAGATGGAGCAATAAAAGTCTTCCATGATAAGCAGAAACTAAAACAATATGTGACCACAAAGCCACCACTACAAAAGATTCTTCAAGGGATTCTGCACACAGAAAGTGAAACCCAACTTAACCATGAAAAGACAGGCAGCACCAAACCACAGGAAAAGAAAAAGCAAGACAGTAGAGAGTAACCTCAACTTAGGTACACACAATCAAACCTTCAAACAACTAAGACAACTAAATGACAGGAATCACCACATACCTATCAGTACTAACACTTAATGTTAATGGATTTAATTCACCCATCAAAAGGCACTGCTTGACGAAATGGGTTAAAAGGGAAGATCCAACAATTTGTTGCTTACAGGAGACTTATCTCAATTACAGAAATAAGCATAGGCTTAGGATGAAAGGCTGGAAGAAGATTTACCAAGCCAATGGCCCACGAAAACAGGCAGGAATAGCAATACTTATCTCTGACAAAGTAGACTTCAAACCTACATTGATCAAATGAGATAAAGAAGGACATTCCATACTAATAAAAGGGGAAATAGACCAAAAGGAAATAATAATCATTAACCTGTATGCACCCAATGTCACTGCACCTAATTTCATCAAACATACCCTGAAAGACCTAAAAGCATATATAAACGCCAACACAGTGGTTGTGGGAAACTTTAACACCCCATTATCATTAATAGATAGGTCATCCAAACAAAAAAATCAATAAAGAAATCCAAGATCTAAAATACATAGATCAATGGACCTAGTTGATGTCTACAGAACATTTCATCCAACTTCTACACATATACATTCTTCTCAGCAGCCCATGGAACCTTCTCCAAAATAGATCATATCCTAGGGCACAAAGCAAGCCTCAGCAAATATAAGAAAAAGAAATTATACCGTGCATACTATCTGATCACAATGCAGTAAAAGTAGAACTCAACAACAAAAGTAAAGACAAAAAACATGCAAACAGCTGGAAACTAAATAACTCATTACTTAATGAAGAATGGATCATCGATGAAATAAAAGAGGAAATTTAAAAGTTCCTGGAAGTCAATGAAAATGAAAACACAACCTACCGGAACCTATGGGACACAGCTAAGGCAGTCCTGAGAGGAAAGTTTATAGCCATGAGTGCATATATTAAAAAGACTGAAAGATCCCAAATCAATGACCTAATGATACATCTCCAACTCCTAGAAAAACAAGAACAAGCAAATCCCAAAGCAAATAGAAGGAGAGAAATAATAAAAATAAGAGCTGAAATCAAGAAATAGAAACCAAAAAAACCATACAAAGAAGTAATGAAAAAAAAGTTGGTTCTTTGAAAAAATAAACAAGATCAATAGACCCCTGGCAAACCTGATTAAAATGAGGAGAGAAAAAACCCAAATTAGTAGAATCAGGAATGCTAAAGAAGAGATAACAACAAACACCATGGAAGTCCAGGAAATCATCAGAAACTACTTTGAGAACCTTTATTCAAATAAATTAGAAAATCTAAAGAAATGGACAGATTTCTAGATACATATGATCATCCAAAACTGAACCAAGAGGAAATTAATCACCTGAATAGGTCTATAACACAAAATGAAATTGAAGCAGCAATCAAGAGTCTCCCCAAAAAGAAAAGTCCAGGACCTAATGGATTCTCTGCTGAATTGTATCAGACCTTTAAAGAAGAACTGATACCAACCCCTCCTAAACTGTTCCACGAAATAGAAAGGAAGGAAAACTGCCAAACACATTTTATGAAGCCAGTATTACACTTATCCCAAAACCAGGCAAAGACACCTCCAAAAAGGAGAACTATAGCCAATCTCCTTAATGAACATTGATGCAAAAATCCTCAACAAAAATAATGGCAAACCGAATTCAACAACACATCAAAAAGATTATTCACCACGACCAAGTAGGCTTCATCCAGATGCAGGGGTGGTTCAATAAACGAAAATCAATAAACGTAATAAACCACATTAACAGAAGCAAAGACAAAAACCACTTGATCATCTCAATAGATGCAGAAAAAGCCTTTGATAAGATCCAACACCATTTCATGATAAAAGCTCTAAGAAAACTAGGAATAGAAGGAAAGTACCTCAACGTTATAAAAGCTATATATGACAAACCTACAGCCAGCATTATACTTAATGGAGAAAAACTGAAACCATTCCCTCTAAAATCAGGAACCAGACAAGGATGCCCACTATCTCCACTCCTATTCAACATAGTACTGGAATTCCTAGCCAAAGCAATTAGGCAAGAAGAAGGAATAAAAGGAATTGGTAAAGAAACTGTCAAAATATCCCTATTTGCAGACGACATGATCCTATACCTTAAAGACCCAAAAAACTCTACTCAGAAGCTTCTAGACATCATCAATAGCTATAGCAAGGTAGCAGGATATAAAATCAACATAGAAAAATCATTAGCATTTCTATACACTAACAATGAGCAAACGGAAAAAGAATGTATGAAAACAATTCCATTTACAATAGCCTCAAAAAAAATCAAATACCTAGGTGTAAACCTAACAAAAGATGTGAAAGACCTCTACAAGGAAAACTATACACTTCTGAAGAAAGAGATGAGGAAGACTATAGAAAGTGGAGAGATCTCCCATGCTCATGGATTGGTAGAATCAACATAGTAAAAATGTCGATACTCCCCAAAGTAATCTACATGTTTAATGCAATTCCCATCAAAATTCCAATGACATTCATTAAAGAGATTGAAAAATCTACTGTTAAATTTATATGGAAACACAAGAGGCCACGAATAGCCGAGGCAATACTCAGTCAAAAGAACAATGCAGGAGGTATCACAATACCTGACTTCAAACTATATGACAAAGCAATAACAATAAAAACAGCATGGTACTGGCACAAAAACAGACATGAAGACCAGTGAACAGAATAGAGGACCCAGATATGAAGCCACACAACTATAACCAACTTGTCTTTGACAAAGGAGCTAAAAATATACGATGGAGAAATAGCAGCCTCTTCAACAAAAACTGCTGGGAAAACTGGTTAGCAGTCTGCAAAAGCTGAAACTAGATCCATGTATATCACCCTATACCAATATTAACTCAAAATGGATCAAGGATCTTAATATCAGACCACAAACTCTAAAGTTGATACAGGAAAGAGTAGGAAATACTCTGGAGTTAGTAGGTATAGGTAAGAACTTTCTCAATGAAACCCCAGCAGCACAGCAACTAAGAGATAGCATAGATAAATGGGACCTCATAAAGCTAAAAAGCTTCTGTTCATCAAAAGAAATGGTCTCTAAACTGAAGAGAACACCCACAGAGTGGGAGAAAATATTTGCCAGCTATACATCAGACAAAGGACTGATAACCAGAATATACAGGGAACTTAAAAAACTAAATTCTCCCAAAACTAATGAACCAATAAAGAAATGGGCAAGTGAACTAAACAGAACTTTCTCAAAAGAAGAAATTCAAATGGCCAAAAAACACATGAAAAGATGCTCACCATCTCTAGCAATAAAGGAAATGCAAATTAAAACCACACTAAGATTCCACCTCACTCCTGTTAGAATAGCCATCATTAGCAACACCACCACCAACAGGTGTTGGCGAGGATGCGGGAAAAAGGAACCCTCTTACACTGTTGGTGGGAATGTAAACTAGTACAACCACTCTGGAAAAAAATTTGGAGGCTACTTAAAAAGCTAAACATTGATCTACCATTTGATCCAGCAATACCACTCTTGGGGATATACCCAAAAGACTGTGACACAGGTTACTCCAGAGGAACCTGCACACCCATGTTTATTGCGGCACTATTCACAATAGCCAAGTTATGGAAACAGCCAAGATGCCCCACCACTGATGAATGGATTAAGAAAATGTGGTATCCAGGAAATCAATGTGAGTCAATGCCCTGTATAGCTATCCTTATCTCAACCAGCAAAAACCCTTGTTCCTTCCTATTATTGCTTATACTCTCTCTACAACAAAATTAGAAATAAGGGCAAAATAGTTTCTGCTGGGTATTGGAGGGGGGGAGTGGGTGGTAAAGGAGGGGGTGGGGGCAGGGGGGGAGAAATGAACCAAGCCTTGTATGGACATATGAATAATAAAAGAAAAATGAAAAAATAAATAAATAAAAATAAAAATAAAAAAAAAAAAGAAAATGTGGTAGCTATACACAATGGAATTTTACTCAGCCATGAAGAAGAACGAAATGTTATCATTCGCTCGTAAATGGATGGAATTGGAGAACATCATTGTGAGTGAGGTTAGCCTGGCCCAAAGACCAAAAATCGTATGTTCTCCCTCATATGTGGACATTAGATCAAGGGCAAACACAACAATGGGATTGGACTATGAGCACATGATAAAAGCACGAGCACACAAGGGAGGGGTGAGGACAGGTAAGACACCTAAAAAATTAGCTAGCATTTGTTGCCCTTAACGCAGAGAAACTAAAGCAGATACCTTAAAAGCAACTGAGGCCAGTAGGAAAAGGGGAGCAGGAACTAGAGAAAAGGTGAGATCAGAAAGAATTAACCTAGAAGGTAACACCCATGCACAGGAAATCAATGTGAGTCAATGCCCTGTATAGCTATCCTTATCTCAACCAGCAAAAACCCTTGTTCCTTCCTATTATTGCTTATACTCTCTCTTCAACAAAATGAGAAATAAGGGCAAAATAGTTTCTGCTGGATATTGAGGGGGTGGGGGGGAGGGGGCAGAGTGGGTGGTAAGGGAGGGGGTGGGGGCAGGGGGGAGAAATGACCCAAGCCTTGTATGCACATATGAATAATAAAATAATAAAAAAAATAATTTTGATGTGAGCATGTGACATCTTCAATAGGCTAATGGCTTTTCATTTGATGCAATCTGACAAAAAGTGGTGTCATTAAATGGAATCATCACATGTGTTTGATGCATGAATTGTAACTCCGTGAATATATTCATACCTCCATAGCAAAAACTCGACAAGCAGATTTCCTTAATGCCTGTTTCATTGCTATTTCAAGACCTTCTAGATCATGGTGTTGTATAACAAAAGCTAAAACTGGCCATTGGAAATTTCGTTCTCCTTTGGAAAGAGAACTGTGGGCTGAGATGAGCCGGGAAAGCTCAGGTGATGGATGTCTCAAGAGGGAAGAACCAACTTCTATATTAAAAAAAAAAAATTAAAATTAGTTTCATAGCAGTACATATGAATAACATACTTAAGTTAATATTGAAAATAATATCTAGCATATTTCACTGTGGAGTCTTTTGAGGGGGAGGCATATGATACAAATCTTAAATGATTTCACTTTTAATGAGGAAGAAATAGAGGCCCAGAAAGATTAGAGATAGGTTTTGATTTCAAGACTAAATATAAAGTTCATACTTTCTAAAACATTCTAAAATGCCTACATCATTTCCATAATTTTCTAAAATATTGCTTTAAAACACAGGTATCTCAACAAGAGATTCAAATATTGGTTGAATGAACCTACAAATCATTGAGAGATGCTCAACAATACTTTTCTTTAAGATTTTTAGTAACAACATACATAAGCTGGCATGGAGGCCAGTCTGGGCAGTGTAACAAAATGCTGCCTCAAAAAAGAAAAAAAAGAAACAAGATACATAGTCATTTGCCTGTAATTTTAATGCCAAATCTCCATTTTAGTAAGTAGTCTACCTGGTAAGTTCAATTCATTCTGAACAATCACTGAATGATCTCTGGATGTCCCCTCTCATTGAGATGCAAAATTTACAGAGGCACATTTATGGCTGGGTCACATAGTAATCTATCATAAAGTGGAAATTAATCCATTCCTCTCCCTTCAAATAGCAGATTTTAAGAATTATTGGCAAAGAAAATAATTTTCATTTCCTAATAGTTGAATTACTCAATCTTCCTTATTATGTGCATAACTTACCTGTGTCTCCACTGTTAACTCTTCTTCTAGGGATGGCTTTAACTCGTGCAGGTAAAATAGAGTGTTGTTTGTCATACTCAGAAGCAACAACTGAGTATGACCTTTGGAAGACAGTTCTCTTTGCCAGATCTGTATCAGTTATAGGACTAGTTTCTAAACTGCAGATAGAACAAGAGCACAGGTAAAAACTAAAGAAAACTGAATGAAGTACATCTGTACTTATGATAGTATAGTCAAATATTTGAATCTAAATTTCTTATGGAAAAATAAACTCAAAGCCAACTTGACAATCTTTCTTTAAATCATAATCTGATCTCTTCAAATATAGCAATATTTTGATCTCAGAACTATACCTTAAAGCTTATGGTTTTCTTACATCTATGTTGCATTTCAAATGACAAAGAAGAAAAGGTGCTAAATGTTCTAAGCTCCTCCTAGAATCAAAAGCGTTAGGGTGGAATTCTTATGTCAAAATAGTCAGGACAAATAGGCAGACATGATCATAAATGCACCAAATCAAATTAAAATAATAGCTGTAAAATAGAGAAAGTACTAATAAAATAGAAAACGAAATTTGGCTCATTTTGGCACTTTTCTTTTCGCACTTGAGTGTCTGTTAGGTTCCTTACTCATGGGAAGTGCTGTCCAAAGCACTTTTTTAGATCATTGCTATGTCAAAGCTGTGATGAGAACAAACTAATTTTCAGCATTACAATTATATTATTCTTACATTCTTAAGAACTCAATGATTTTCATTCAGGCTTAAGTCAACTAATGGCTTTTCTACTTATTGTAGTAACAATAAAAACATTTAAAAGGTTATTAAGATAGCTGTATAACTTTATGAAAAAGAAAAGTATTTTTCTGATTTCTCTACAACAATTTACAAGCTATTCTTTTCATGTGTTCTTTTTAGTTACCTAATTTTAAATTGAGACATTTTGGTCACCATGAGCTCTAGAACTGTCTTGTTTCCAACATTCAAGCCACACGTGACATCCATGTCCCTCAGTAAAGTTTATACACTTTCTCGGAAGCAGTTAACTCCCTGGATGGATTCTTTACTTACTACCTCTCTATGCTGATGTACATTCTTGTGTAAAAAGAGCATAAATGCGATAAATTCACTGGGGGTAATTGTGCTTGCATGTCATTTTGGGCTGTCTGGTTTCAAAATGACTGGATGCATAAACTGAATTCATTTTATACATGGTGTTACCATTCTGTTTTACAGACAATTTTCAATAAAAAAAGAATCATTATACAATTTTAAAAAGATGATTTCTTATAAAAATATGATAATGTTTGTGAAAAATTAAGCAACACAAGAAGCCCCATAAAGGAAGCAAAAAAAGACTATCATTAACTTACCCTTGGCTACATTGGGTCAGATAATTCCTTGTTGTGGGAACTGTCTTGTTCAACAACACTGCCTTTTACTCACTAGGACGCCAACCGAAACAGCTCAGTGTGGCAAGCAGCAGAATTGTTTCCAAATATTGTTAGATGCTAGTTGAGAGGCAAAAACTGCCCTTCTCCCCCATTGAGAACCACTTATTTAAGGAACTCACTATTCATCTTTTATAATAGCTTGAGTTGTCAAGATGCTTTTTCATTAATTGCTCAAAATGTGTTAAGTTCCCTGAATTACTGCATGCCTGAGAATGTCTAAATCCAGGTGAATATAAAGAACCTGGGTCACAGTTTCTTTTCTTTAGGATTTTGTGAACATTATACTTATGTGCTCTGATATCATTATATTTTCACTGTCTACTGATTCTTTTAAACATGCTTTTTATTAATCATTTGAGTCATGTGATTAACCCAGAATTAAACATGAACTTTGTGGTGGAATGGTGTTTTCTAGTAAAATTAAAATATGGGAACATGTACTAATGTTCTTAAGAACTTTTCTTTGTGAGTATAACTAAATTCAAATATATTATCAGTATATCTAATATTGGGTAAAACTTCTCTAAGTTAATATTTTTTTTTGGAACTTAACATTGTTTTATTATTCCTTTCATTTGAAGTTATGATTTAAGAAGTATGAATTTCGTCTGTAACTTTCCTTTCACAATATGACTTCTTTTTTCTTGCTCAGACACTTGATTTTTTTTTTTTTTTTTTTTGAGTAAGATATTTCTTGGGCTGGGGCTCTGCTCAAGTGGTAAAGCACTTGCCTAGACTGCGGGAAGCCCTGGTTATAATCCTTAGTATTGCCAAAGCGGTATTTCTTATCTGTTGAAAAATTTCCTAATCTAATTCAGCATAATTTTACATTGGGAAGTTTTTTTTTTCCCTGTCATTATGATTATCTCAAATCTTTCCTTTACATCAATAATATAACTTACTGTTTTATATTTTCCTAATTATTTTCTATTTTATAACAATGCTGATTTGATCTTCCGTCTGTCCTCTTAGCTCTGTAATGATTTTTTATTTCATTTTGTTTTTAGATCACTTTCACATTTGAGCTTTGTTTTGTGAAATTAATATTATCCAATTAGTCAGTACTACAGCTTACGCACAGATGAGTTTTCTTCCAGTTTGGGTTTTTTCAATCTGAATTTTGAATGGCATACTATTTTCATTTTGCTAATGCTTGTTTTATTAGGAAACATTCGTTGTACAGGGTGGGAGGATTCTTTGTGACAATTCTAAATAGCCTTACACTGTACATTGGTTAGATCTGTTTAGTTCTTTCTTTAGCTTGTTCTGATAATGAATGTGTGGATCTCCCTAGATTTCTTTTCCACCATACTTGGCATCTGTTTTTATTCCCTTCTCAGAGGTAGCTAGAGACTTTATTTGCTATTCTACACCAGGGATCATTCTGTGGTAGCATTCCTTGGGACCTTAAATTGTTGCTCTGCTTCAGCAACTGTTGCAGAACAAAAGATTCTCTAGAATTTTCCAATTTCTGCTGGTATTTGAGAGATGATAGATTCCAGGGCTTTTCACACTAGAAGATTCTACCTGGACCTTTTTCTGAGGTTTGCATCCATCTTGATCTACTTTCCTCTAACTTTGAAGGTTATCTGGCTTTTCAACATCTTCTCAGGGTCATTAGTTTAAAAAAATGTATGGCAACTTTTATAAGCTGGAGTTGCTACCTTTTTCTTGATTTTTTAAGAAAAATGTAAAAATTCTTTGGGTATTTAGGATGAAAAATTCTCAGATACAGCTTTGTTTCACTATCATTAACTTGAAGTTCATACTATTTGATTTTAATCCTAGAGGGTTATAATCACACAATGAATGACATATCAGACTAATCTCAAAATCATTTTTTAGATACCTTTATAAGGTGTATTTCCTTTAGAGATACTTTATCACCTTTAAAAACATAAAATCTGTGTTGTACTACTTGGAGAAAATGTGGAGAATAGCTACAAAAAAACTGATGAGAAATCCACACAGATGAGGGGAAAAGTTGCAAGCATTTTTAATAGAAATACACTCATTTGGATATGTAAGTTCTATTATATTTATTAAATATCTTTGAAATTACTTCAACTGTATAGCATTAATGAAGTAGCATATCTTAATAAGTATTTTCTCTCTTCCTTCAGCAAACATCCTACTTTCCAATGATACCATATTCATAGTTATTCATGCCTAAAATTTCTTATCTTTCAATTATCCAGTTGGTCAACAAGTCACATTGATTTTTTTCCTATAAAATATCTCCTTTATTCATCTTTTTTTCAGTCATTGCCAATGTAATTCAATGCCACACACCTAGTGAAATATATGACAAAATTTATCAGCTTCTCAATTGACACTGTGAGACTATCTTTGCATATTTGTCATGTTGTCCCTTCTCTAAAAAAGTTTCAATAGTTTCTGATTTTCTTGTGCATTATATTTACATGGTTCCATTCAGTTTCAAGAAGCTCTTTACTTTGGCACTACCATGCCTACGTGAGGAGGCATTGTGTGAATGAACTAAGAAGTTTATTCTCAATGCCACTTCTCCCACGAACTGTCTATATGCTGCCTCAAAGTCAACTTTCCTTACTCTGATTAAGTGTAAAACTAAATGACATATCAAACAGTAATCTTTTATTACACCATTAGTTGATCTTTTCTCTCCAACTAATCTGTTTCTCTCATAAAGGATTTTATTCATATATGTATAATACTTTTTCATACTGTTCTGGTAGTTAGCAGAGCTGACTATCTCTCTTAAGATGAATGGCTTTATCAAAGATCTTTTACAGCATTCTTTTCTAGTTCAAAGTCGTTCCATCAAACACTGGCTATTCAACAGAGAGGAGGTAATTAGAATACCTTGGAGGCATAGACTTCATATTGCTCTCTGGCTCTTCAAATACATTAGGACTTGCATCAGGAGTTACTGAAATGTATGGGGCAGGTACAGATGTTGAGCGTAGATACCTCATTTCATCCTGGAACAGGTTGTCATCTTGATAACCCACAAAATTTTCATGATGATGCCTGTTAAATCAAACCCAAGAACTTAAGAGTATGATGGAAATATGGATGCTCTTCATTTTTAATCTCCTTTGTAAAAAGCAAAGCAGCAAATGTCAATCTAGAAGTAAAGGTGAAGTATTAAAATATTCAGAGATGCAAGTAGGTGGAAATAAAATTCTGTTGATTTTACATAGATATTCCAGGTAACATAATATTTCAAATCCAAAATTGAACTTATTTTCTTTTCCTTTGAGGGCATTTCCATGTTCCAGTGTTGGGTGAGTGATCCCACCAACTATCTTGGTGCTAAGACTAGACTATTTCAGAGTCACAGTAGGCTTAGCCTTCAATCATCACTAGTAACTCAGGCCTATAATGCCAAGTTTTTTCTCACAGCAATTCTCTCTTCTCATTACTTATCATCACTGCCATGGTATAGACTTGTATTCCTTGCATGGCCTATTGAAATACAGGCATTTACTTTTTGGGCAGGAACATATATGATTCAAACTTGAAAAAATATTAAATACATAAAATGTTCTACGGGCTAAGGGGAGACCATTCCCCAGAGAGCTAAAATTATAAAATCTGTAATTATGTTAGCACTTTCTACATGGATTACAATTGTATACATTTTCTTTCTAACTGGAATAAAAAGTTGCTAATCCAAGTCACTGAGTGATCTAAATGAAGTTAAAGATGCAAGTGGCATGTCTGATGATTTCTACCTCAGTTTCAAATGTATTTAGTCTCACATTTTCCTTTTCCTTTTTAAGTTATGCTATGGCAATAATAAATATAAACATTTTCAAAAACCAAACAAATCTGCTATAGAACGAGGGTGATACATTTCAAAAGGGAACAATGGATTGGAAAGCCATGACAGCAGGTGATACCTAGAAATCTTCATTTGTGAACTGTTAAAAAAAAAAAAACCAAACAACTTGAATTTGGAATATGAAATTCCAAAACGACTGTTTTGTCATGTCACAACATAACATGTGAAAGTAGAGGCTGTACCATCCACGTCTAATATGGGAAAACAGCACAATATTAATAGGTTTTTCTTCATCTTCAGGTATGCCCTTTTGTCCAGTTTCCACATTCCACAGTGTGATCTTTTAATTGCAAACCAGGCCATATATTTTCCTGTTTAAAATTCTTCTACTGATTCCTCTACTTATAGGATAAAATCTAACCTTGGTAAGAGCTACAGAGCCTGATGTTTCTTGGGTTACCACTATGAGGAACATTTCACTATGTATAATGCTTTAACAAACCTGTGAGTCCTCAAATATGTAGTGAGATTTAATCTGTGTCTACTCTGCCAGAAATAGTTTTGCTCCCATTACCTGCCTGACAGATTGCTATTTATCATTCGAACTCTGCTAAAGGGTCAGACCCTCTGGGAAACCTTTCCTGGCATACTTGAGAAGACTCAAGTCATTTCCATCTTTGTGCTCTAACAGCATCCTATGCATGCTTCTATTAGAGAACTCCTATGACACCATAATGTTTTGATAATATGTGTCTTCCCACCAGTATGAGCATAGATGTCAGGATTTTACTATATTCATCTCAGTGTCTTTGGGGCCTACCAGAAAGCTAGTACCTAGCTGGCACTTGTTTAAATACTACCAGAAATAATGTTTTAAAAAAATGGAAAGCCTTTCATATGAAGCATCAGTTTTTTTCCACATCAGCATTTCCTATTAACAACCTGACAGAGAATAAAAGGATTATAGCTGTAGTCTTTCTAAGACATGTTACTTTAAAAATAATACTAAAAATTGACAAAATTTTTGCATGATAATAGGACAGTGACATAAAATGTGTACCTATTAGTAATGTGTCACCCAAAGCAATTCTGAAAATAAATTCCTGGAGGCTTCTTTACTGTATACAATATACGTATATAATGTAATGTGTGTATTCAGAGTAAATACTGGACTATCCTATGATATTAGTTAATCAACAAGAGCTGTTAATCCAAAGGTGATGAAAAACACAGGAACAAAATTTTATTACCTAGCTAATGTCTGTAGGTAGAGACAAGGCATTTTCACAGGAAGATCCTCAGAAATGCCCTCTTTCACGCTGGGCAGCTGCGATTGGAAGGGCTTTGCAGGATGGTAACACAGAATGCTTGGTTCTGCTGCACTGCTCAGGGACAGCAGGAAAAGGGCATTGGCTTTGATCACCTGGTGAGCTTCCATGGTGGGCAAGGCACGGGGAGTCTTTACCTGCAGTGGTTTTCTTCGAGATTGTTTGACCTGGCAATGAAAGAATGAAATGACTTCTTCTTCCTTATTTAAAATTTTAATTTCTTAAGCCAAATTTTGAGTTTCTAATAAAAATTATGGAACTATATTCAAGTAATTAATGATAGTGATGGCCAATACAGCATTTACTTCATGCCTCACCCCAAAGTGACTGAAATAATTTTATATTGAACACAAAATATATTTCTTTTCTTGGGGAAATTTAAACCTTAACTTTGTTAAATCTAAGTGTAATTAACAAAAAAACCACAGTAACATGTGTGTGTGTAGGGGGATATTCAGCAAAATTCCTTGGTGTGGTGTGTCACTAGTGAAAATGATCTTGAATTTCCAAGAGTCCCACAGAGTAATTAGGTATTATGGAAAGGTGATAAAGAACAGGGAAACAAAATAGTCTAAAAAGAAAGAAAGTGCAGAGTGAAATTTATGTGTATGTATAGATAAGAGCAATATATAATTAACAATAAAGAATTAATTAAAAGATGAACATTTAGTTGTTTTATATACTAATTTATTTTTAATTAAAAATAGCTGACAGTACAAATGTTAAATGTGTTTATTATTTTTTATGTAAAAGCTGATTTTAATGTCAACATATGGAATCAACTGATTTAATATGATTATAAAGATTCTTACAGGCCTATGCATAATGGTAATACTATAGACAAGAATGGCATAAAAATACCTTCTCCCTTGCAGCAGTCTGTTTTTCACGGAGGTATTTTTCTCTACAACGATCACATACCAGGTACCAAGTGCTTCCTCCTATGCCACCATCACCACAGTTACCAGCCCATCCTCCACAAAAATGCCCAATGCTATTGTAACCTTGTCCACCAGCATAACGGCCACAACCTTGAGATAATAATAAAAATATATATTTAACATTGCAAGTGTTTTTTAATAGTCTGATCTTTATTATTGTATGTTGATAAAAATAGATGCTTGACCAAAAAATAGACAACTAAGTGATATATAAAGCATTAGAGATGATCTATATCTAGGTGAGCAGATTAAAATATAAGATATGAGTAGCTTTAGATTTACCTAAAAATGATGATAAAATAGACAAAACAAGTATATTCTGTAAAAATGATATATTTTCAGGAATCATGTATTTTAAAACATTTTACAATTGATACACAGAAAGAGAAAAAAATTATCCATATGTGAATTTTGAAATATGGAGAGTATAAATTACTTTTATTTACCTAAAACACAATCTTTTAATAAAACAATACATACTACTTGCATATGAAAATCCCCACAGAAAACACTATAATTCATTAAATTTGGTATTTTGAAAAGGAAAGCACTAAATTGAAGGAGACTTAACACTGAGATCTGCCCTGTGTGCTTAGAAATACCATTACTTCTATTGTGCAAGACCTTAATGGCATCCTTTAACACATAAAATATTTAGAAAAATAAACAATATTTCAAAATGTGCTACGTTAAGATGAAATAACACTACATTTCCTGATGAGTATACTATTAGAATTTATCTACCCATTTCCCAAAAAACCTATTATTCTTACAACGTACTTTTATTTATTTTTTATTTTTTGGTGGAACTGGGGTTTGAAGTCAGGGCTTTGGGCTTGCAAAGCAGGAGCTCCAGCTTGAGACACATTTCTAGTCCATTTTACTCTGGTTGGTTTGGACATGGGGTATCAGAAACTATTTTCCCAGGCTGGCCTCAAGTAGCTAGGGTTACAGACATGAGCTGATAATGTACTTTTAAATGATGTTACAAAATGCTATAAATTCTGGACAACAGTTTGCCTCTACTTTGACATAATTCGTAGAGCAGCCGAGTTAGAGGCAACAAGTTCATTAAAAAATAAAGTATTTCTACACATATATTTAACAGCATCATTTACCTGGGTGAGCTTGTCGCATGTGATAGGTCACTGGGTATGGATGGGATTCTCCACACAGCTCACAGATGGTATCTTTTTCTGGTCCTCCTACAGCCAGTTGGGCCATCTCACCAAACAAATTGCCCCTGGGCCTAACTTCTGCCTTTTCTTTTTTCTTTTTTTCCTTTTTGGCCTTTTTATTCTCTTTCTCAGATTCTTTCTTTTTAAGGACTGCACAGGAACCGGGACTTGGAAAAATCATATTCTGGGAAGCAGCTTTGATAGTAGCCAAAGAGATATCTTCCCAAAAAGCTACTAAATGTTGTAAAGTTAAGGGAAGAGGAGACTTAGACTTCATTGTGTGCTGCATGGACATTTCGAAGGTGGCCTCAGTTTTTCCATCTTCACACTTTTCATGCAGTGGTGGTTCCTTAAGCATAGACAACACCTTATTTTTGTTGATGCTACCCATCTTAGATATATCTGGTCCATGAGGTGCAATATTAAACATATTCAGGGCAGATGATATTTCCAGCGAGTGCCTATTTTTTAATTTTATTTCCTTTTCCTCAGTGGGCTGCTGACTATTCAAACTACTCCTTATAGGAGCATGTTCTTTGGAAAGTTCAGGATTAAATTTTAGGAAAGAAGAACAGGCCATTGCATCATGTACTATGCCTTCATGCCACAGGAAAGACGCAAAGACTGCTCTGGCACACTCAGCCACAGATGGGGACATGGCTTGCTTAGCTGGCTCTAAAGGTTTGGATCCATCTGCTTTGAAAAGAAAACTAGATTTTTCTTTTTTGGGCCTGGTGTGTCTGTTAGCACATTTTCTACTTATTTTGGGGGATGCTCTCATTTCCTGTTCATCTTTCAGTGGTGCTTTTCCTATGCTGAAATGAACTTTATTAGAACTTTCATCCACACTCTTAAATTCGCTGCTTTCATCACAGGTGCTATCTATCAGACTATTTGTTTTTAAAGTACTTGAAGTGCAGACTTCAACCACCTCACTATGAAGGTTTTCCTGTACCACATGGGGAGAGGGAGCTCGATTTTCAGATCCAGGGGAGTCTTTAGAATCCTTTGGTACTGATTTCGGTTTTGGTGATGTGGATCGTCCCCTTAATGGCTCTGTGAGGGGCATTTTTTTCTTGCGGAGGGTATCTGGATCAAGTGTGTAAGAGTCTGATTTGGAACGTTCCCGAGGAGGATCAAGTTTTGTCTTAACAGGAGTAGTGTTTCTTTGAGGTAGATTTTTATCTTGTGGTGAGGAGGAGCGTGGAGAACTAGCACCAGATGGGCTAGACCTGTTGGCTGGGAGAGTCTTTGGCTTGGGAGATGATGACCGAGAACCTGGTCCTGGAGATTCAGCTCTGAGGCTAGAAGACATCCTCCCATCAGACTTCAGTGTCTGCAAGGTGTTATGGTTGGGGGACAATGACCTACTATGGGAATCTGACCTCAACTTTGCAGCATCAGATTTTAACATGAGGGATTCACTAGCAGACAAAGCTTCTGTCCCCCTTGGCTTCTTCTGGTCAGCAGGAGTCCGGCTCATGCGTCCATCAGGCTTAAGTGATCTGTTATGTTTAGAGGACAGCTCTGATTTTCCTGATGTAGAAACTGGTCTAGAAGATGTTGAAACATTTCCTCGGTCACCTGTATGGTCCATTTCATAGTGAAACTTGTTAATAAGTTACAACTTACAGATATTTAGCCACCAAACACTAAGATAAAAAGCAAAGCTACAATATTTCTACTGCTTTTCAAATATAAAAATGCCTTAGGAATAAAAGAAAAAAGGGGAAATATTTCTAATCAAATTTCTATAGTAGACAACCATTACTAGTATAGACTGAAAATATAGTACCTATGTTCCTGTATGTGTTAATGTGATAGATGAACCTCAGTCGTAGTATATCTAATTAGAATTTAAATTGAGTGACTGACTACAAAGGAAAAAACTAGCTATTGTTTTTGGAATGAGAAATTATGAAAACATGTATTTTATCATATGAAATAATTAAGCCAAATTTCCAGTAGAGTGAAACCTAATATCATTAAGATAATGGTGTAGGTCTTGTTGAATCAGGAAACAAAATTTATAAATTTGTAGCTTTCATGTGTACAAATAAATACAGACTAATAAAGAGCATCTCAGGAGAAACCCTGCTTTAATGATTGGATTAGAATTACTTATAATTAACATATGAATATCCTAAAGGTATTAACTGCACATAATTCAGGCAGTCTTATTTATAAACAGGCTATATTCCAGTAAGCTTAGCTGATTAGATCACAGAACTTATGGCCCCTGTAAATAAGAGTAATGTCAGGATCCTCAGAATGAATAGGATAAGTTTGACTTTTTGTTTCTTAAAACAAAGTCCAGAGGAAAAAACAAATAAATTTCCCCTTTCTAAAACAAAGCACTAGATAATTCCACATAGATACCATTTGTAATTGGTGTACTGGCCTTCACTCTGTGTCTGTCCATCCTGATACTTAATACTTTTCTCTGAGGTATTAGACCCAGGCTGTTTTGTCCTAAGTAGTACAACCTTCAACATTACCTTTCCTCCTTAAAAGGCAAACACCTGCTACACAAGTGACATTTATTGTTGTTATGAGGAAAGCAATTTGACTGAAGTGAGTCAAATGGTATGAAAAACGGAAAACTCCAAGTCTTGCCAGATGTACTTATGTTTTTTAGAAGAGGATTCTTAGGAAATTGAGATGAATTTGTTAACTGGCTACAATTGCAGCTCTTCTCTCTTTTCCAGAAAATAGAGTTTGAACAAATTTGGATAATTGGGAAAATTCTTTGTATGCATGCATGTGTGTTTATTGTCATACTCTAGTAATCCTTATGTCAGGACAGTAGTGCTATAGGATCTTCCTTCCTTATGGAAGGTCTTCTAGGGCAGGTTTTTGTCTATTCTTCAATGATGTATTGTCAAGAATGGGTCTTGGAATACAGTAGATGCTCAAGAAGTATTTGCTGAATAAGTAATAAATTATCAATTTTTTCTCATATTATTCTCAAATGTTCAGAGTCTCTGAGAATCTGCTTCTTAGAGCTATGGCTCCAAGGCTACGGGGCAGAGGTGGCAGCAGTCATTGCTGCGCAGGTGTTCAGGGCTTGCAACTACAGTGATCCTGCAGTGAAGGGCATGGTATGACCACAAGCCATATGGGCACACTGCTGAACTGTATTTATTCACCTGCAAAATGCCCATGTTTGGCAAAACATTCTGGTTCTTTGGATGAAAAAAAAACTATTCTGAATACAATGGGCTTCAGTTTTGCAATGCTTTATCACTCTGTCCGTGATTTTCTTTATCATATTTTTTCTTTTCTTTTTGGTGCTGGAAATCAAACCAGGGCCTGTGCATGCTAGGCAAGGGCTTTACCACTGAGCCATATGCACAGCTCTGTGGACTTTTTATAAATGCAGTTTGAAATTACACTAAATTTTTGGGAAGATGAGGGAAAAAAATCACACACACACAACAGACTTCTAAGTATAGATCTGGTTTGGGAGAATACAGATAAACAGATGTGTTCTTGATAAATTTAAGTACTTTCAAACTGTTCAAAAGTAGTTAAGGAACCATTGCCTATTTTATTTTATTGACTTAATATTGTATCAAGGAAATTTTTATGAACAAACAAGCTGTATTTAGTAGAATTAAACATCAGCCTAGTCCTGGGCACTGATTTTGAGTATGGCGTGTTGGAGTATTAGTCTTCTCTTACTTCTCCAAGAGTCAGAAGTCTTTTATCACCTCTATCATCACATTTATTCAAGAAGTTGCATCATATATCATAATGGATCACAACAAATAAGTAGTAAGTCATTTATATCTGGTACTCCTCTCTCCAAAAAACTCAAATTTTAACTGAGCTTTCTAATTTATAAATGAAGACAATTTATTTTAGGATTGAGAATTTAATAAGAAAGCTTCCTCACCACGATTATCTACTGCCTGCCTCAGATGTGTTCTAAATCCTGCAAATCAATTGCACGGAATGGTGAATACATGCTGATATTACACTTAACCCTAGGAGTATAAGAATTCTTAGTGTTGGGTATTTCCTCGTAATGGAAACATCCTCTGTGGTTGTTTGAACAACGGGATGTCATATATTAGGGACATCACTTTTCATATGTGAGCAAAAAAGTCTATAATATTGAAAGAGTCAGAAAGAACTTTGTATACCTTATTTCTATTTCTCTAGCAGATTTGTCAAAATGACAACTAAATATCTGTTGGAGTTCAGGTGTATAAATATTAGCAGAAGTCCTTTCCTGGGATGTATTTCTCAAATCATAACTAATTCCTTTTGAGAAACACCTTTTCCATTGCATTTCACACACTTAAAAAAAAAAGTATGCTAAGTTTGTGAAGTGAGGTAAACCCACATGCTAACCAATATTTGTGCATCTTTTTTGTGTGGCTTTCAAAAATTTTGCAACATATAGTAAATGCTGCTCAAAATTGTCATGTGTGGTTGTCTCAAAATATTAACAAATACTTTGTTAAAAATCTTTGAGCCACATCCGTTACCTTCACAATCATCACTTAATTTAGTTTAGTTTAATGGTTATATTTATAACATGTAAGTTGAAATAACAGGCAAACATTTTCTAGCCTCAAAAGAATCTTGACATGACAAGACAGAAATTCAGTGTATTCAAACAAATTAAATATTACTAAAACATGTTAAATCTTAACTATTCATCCACTAAATCACCTGCACGATTTTTTCATGCCCAAATCATCACCAGATTCTATACCATACTGCATATATAATATTATACCATAACATGTTACAATATGTAGTACATATCATCTTATATATCATATGCTCCTATACAATACATGTCAAGTTATATAACTATACTTTATATTTACTATTTGTATATTTACTTTACAATAGTTTTTATTCATTTTTAACAAAAATTAGTAATTGGAAAAACTTACACAAATATATTAGTCATTGCTGCAAAACTTCAAAAATTATCTTAAAATACAGGATTTAAAAACTTAAATATTACTTTAGGACAAAAAATTAAATAGGCATCTGTTGTACTTTAAATGATCAAAGGCAATTTTTTTTAATTTTCTGAAATTTTGTCAGTTGTCAATAGTTTAAACATTTCTAAATTTAAAATATTAAAATTAATCAACCAAGAAAATACTGTACAAAAGATTCACGCCAAACAGGATAGGTCTCTCTCTCCTCTCTCTCTATCTCTCTGATGATAAATAAGTTAAAGTAAAAATTTTAACTTAATTTAAAAATATTTCTCATAAAACGGAATAGGTAAAAATGATTTTTATATTACATACAGTAAAATGAGTCTAAGACTAAATTCTCCTGTAAGATACTATATTTGTATAGATTATCATGTGCCTTATACATATATCATCTTGTTCTAATACTAAGAAATTAGGCGTTTCTTTCTATGTGCCTATTTTATCTTTTAGGCTCTCATAGGTCTAAAAGAAAATAAAAAAAATTTAACCCACAGATACAATAAACATGCGTAGCAATTAGGATATGCTATACTCTTTATGAATAGGAACATCATAAATTACCTCAAATAAAATTTTAAATAAAATGAAACCTTAATTAAAAAATGGGATGGAATGAAAATGATTGAGATGAATTAAATCTTCTTTACTGACAATTCTTTGTTCATTAAGAATGACCCATCCATGGATGCACGTATACCCACCCTTCAGTTTGTGAGACAGAGATGAGAGAGCAGAGGCAGGCCCAGCTACACCAAAATTTTTGTAAATGCGCTCACGAGAAGCAAGGTTGCGAGATGGAGATTCTACAGTGGAAAACATTGGCAAAGAAGCAGCACAGATTCAATGGAAAAAAAATTTAGCAGAGAACACAAGCAAAAACAAAGCATTTCAAATGGTATGCAACAATAAACTGCTATTAATAATAGTTTATATTCTGCTAAATTTTTCAGTAGGTTTGCATAAAATTAAAACTGAACACAAAGGTCAAATTAATTTAGATTAATTGTGTTAATATGTCCAAATGTGTTAAGTTAAACTTAGTACGGTTTATCTGATAAATTAAATTTGAGCATTTCTTTTTAGACTAATACTTCTGAGCTGAGTTTTTTAAAACTTAGTGCTTACTTACAAATAACAGTTTGTAGGTAAGTTATTACTTACCTATAAATAATGATGGAAGAAAAAGAAATGTTATTTATAGTTTAACTTACTGCCACCTGGTTTTCTAAACAAACACATTATTATGCTTTTCCAATATTTATCTCCAATATGGACCTACACTGTCTATTTTTCTTGGTGCTAACCTGGGTATTTATTGTTTGTTTTGTAGATTCTACTTCTTTTTTATTAGCATATTATTGTTGTACCAGGGGTACATTGTGACATTTATGAAAGTGGTTACAATATATCTTAGATTCATCTCCTCCATCTTTCTCCTTTTTCCCCTTCCCCCCCTCTTACAACACTTTCAATATGTCTCATTGTTCCATTTTGATCCTACTTTGGAGATGCTAAATTTTATTTGTGAAAAGTCTTACAACACAAAGCAAAAAAACCCTGACAACTCACACACAAGATTTAGACACACTAATGATTTACCATGCAAAAAATTGA